AAGGACACTGCTTATTAGGGAAAAAATGAACAGAACAATATTAAATTAGATAGTATCAACACTTTCAATGTGATCATAGATTGATAACTAAGGGGTGCCAAATGATTTGTTTTCTATCTTACCAGAATGGTCCCCTATTCCCTATAGATAAGCACAGAGAACATGTTTCAGGGACTAAGGCAAAAGATTAGCTCAATTCCAAGATTTTGGTTGAAGTGAGACTGGCTCAAAGCAATAGGTGCAACAAGGGGTTATCTTTTCAGTCACAAAGCTATTAGTTCTGACAAACTAACTATAAGTTGGCAAGTGATAAACACCTATGAATTTTAAGGTCATTTCATAAATAATATGACACCTGTAATGTAAGTAAAGGTTTAGATCAATTCCAAGATTTTGGTTGAAGTGGGACTGGCTCAAAAGCAATAGGTGCAACAAGGGGTTATCTTTTAAGTCACAAAGCTACTAGTTCTAACAAACTAACTATAAATTGGCAAGCGATAAACACCTATTAATTTTAAGGTCATTACAAGTGTCATACTATTTATGACACTTGTAATGTATTTATTTAATTACTAGATATGAACATTAACAATATTAACATGTATACATTAATATTATCATTAATGTGACCTTTACCAATTTACTTACACATATTATACTATAATCGATATATTCATTATTCATAGTTAATACCATAATTTAATATTACTATATCCATACATTACTATAAATATTTGAGTACAAGATATGAACATTGACAATATTATATTTATATATTAGTATTATTATTAATGTTAGCTTACCAATTTACTTGTCGATATATGAATGTTCTTGTAATATATTCAAAATATTATAATATATTACTAATGTTTATAATGTAACATATAATTACTAAATAATTATTTACATTATATATAATTCAATAAATTTATTTTCTTATCTGATGTTCTATAAGCATGAAATTCAATTGTGCCTTAAGAAAATTTGAAGCCATCAAAGATTTCCTCTCTCATTTAATTTGTGGACCTCTATCATCACTCCTAAAATTTGTTAACTCCTAAAAGTTATCATAGAAAAACCTAGAAATCACTAACTTTGGGGGGATTGTATGGGGATGCTTAAAAATTTCTGTAATGAACAAATGCACAAAACAGCTCAGCTAGAGTTGCCCATAATTAGAGGGGCAAGAAAAAAAGAAAATCAAATTCCTGAACTTTCTCTGAAGGTGGCTCACCAGTTTGGATGGTAGACACCAACTCCAGCTGATTGAAATTTATTTGTTTTACTTTGTTATAGTGGCCTTTTGCTTTTCATAGAATTATGTTAGATTATATATCATACAAGCGACCTTGTTTTGCCAAAAACATCTGGAAAAGCAATAACTGGTGGAAGAAAGCAGGTTGAGAATAACAAACCTGGGAGTTGGAGATTCGGCACTCATTCTGCTAAATATTTTTTTTCTTTCTTAGATGGGTTGCAAATTAGGCCTTTTAAAAGAAATTAGTTTTATTTCAAAAACTCAATAAGTTATCTTGTTCGCTACTACTTTTTGTGTATGTGGTGGTGGTGGTGATCGTGTAGGAAAGAGGAGGGGGGACTAGAGGGCCCCAAGAATTGTGCAAAGCACTCAACCGATTTCAATATTCCATCAGTCGTGTGTGGCTCGACTGATCTAATTCGTGCCTGAGTGATCTTTTTCGGTGAAAGGATACGAATGAAAGAACTGTGATTCCATGGGCCCCTCCTTTTGTGTGAGATTCAACTATTTCCCTATGCTTTTTTTCCTTTTTTGCTTTTGCGTCTTTCAGTCATTTTCTCGGCGTACCCGTTGTCCATCATTTTCCCGGCCTACCCTTTGTCGACTAGTTGCATTGTCCACTAATTGCGATAGTCTCTGAATGGATGGTTCTGATTTATCAAACGCACTATTTTATGGTTTTTGTTCTCATTCATCTTCATCCACTCTTTTTGTTTTTCTTCTATTTTTTCATCTTGATCCCTCTCGTTTCTCTCTCTCTCTCTCTCTCTCTCTCTCTTATTGCTTTCACCCTTCTTTTACTCTTTCTTGTGGTGAGTTATGACCTAATCTTTCTCTTTTCCTAAATCAATTACAGTCTTCACTTTTCCCCAGCATCTCCAGTAATGGTTTTGACCCCTAGGCTGTGATCTTGAAGATTTTCACCGTCTAAATGATATCACCGATTCTGTTGTTTCTTTAAAGTTATTATAGTGGTACACATGATAAAGCCCATCACTAGCTAAGAAATTGTGAATTTGACAAAAAAGTCTCTCTAAAAAAGTAGCACCTTTTGCTTTTATTGATGGTTTTGGGATGAAGATGATGGTACTTGTTTTTCATTATTAAACTGAGGTTTTGTAGAGTTAACCGATAATGGATGGATGCGATGTTTTGGGAAGGGGTCTTACAGTGGATCTAGACTGTCCATTCGTGCTTCTTTTTTATATCATTTCCTTGACTTTTGATATCTAGAAAACTTCTCAGGAGGAATGTGGATGCCCTCGATTCCACTGTTAACAGGTATCTCAGACTCTGAAATAAAACAATTCTTGATGATATGGACCCTGCCTAAGCAGTTGATGATTCTAAGGGAAGTTTCAGTATGTACCATGTGTACTAATTTTCCATGTAAAGGTTTTATTTAATTATTATTATTATTATTATTATTTTTGGATTGAGAGAGAGAGATTACCAATTTTATTCCATATCTAACCCAACCTTTGGGAGTCAGAGATGGGGTGAATATCATCTTAAACCTCACTCTCTCTCTAAACCTACTCTCTATGGAGTAATATATATATATATATATATATATATATATGTGTGT